GCGCCCGGCCTGATTTCACTGTTTTAAACCTACCAACAGCCTGCCAAAGTATCCTTTCCCATTACTGTGCTCTCACTTAGTGATGCCAACTCAGATAGGATACCAGGGTGATAGGTGGTCTTTCAGACTAAGGTGAGAAAGTTGACTAACTAGGAGGGGGAGAAAATGCACACAGACTAGGCAGGTACGTTTCACAGACATATCACATCCAACACCGATTCTCCAAACCTCCACATCTCAGTTTAAAAAATTACTGTTCCCTACTTTCATCACACCTTTCTCATTTTGTAGTTGAACATATTTGTTTTCTTGTTTACTCTCTTTCACCATAAGAATATAAGCTCCATAAGAGTAGGGATCAACTGCCTGTTTCAGACTGTACTATATTTTCTGTGTCTAGAACAGCACCTGGTACATTGTAGGCGTTCAATAAATGTTGAACACAGATGGCACTAATTTGAAGTTCCTATAATCCTAGCACTCTGGGAGGCCGAAGGGGGAGGATTGGTTGAGCTCAGGAATTCGAGACCGGCCTAAGCAATAGCAAGACCCTGTCTCTACTAAAAGTAGAAAAATTAGCTGGCCAACTAAAACTAGAAATAAAAAATTAGCCGGGCGCCGTGGCGCACACTTGTATTCCCAGCTACTTGGGAGGCTGAGGCAGGAGGATCGCTTGAGCCCAGGAGTTTGAGGTTGCTGTGAGCTACGCTGATGCCGCCATGGCACTCTACCAAGAGTGACTGAGAGAGACCCTGTCTCAAAAAAAAAAATAATTTCAAGTTCCTGTGCTTTCACCTGCACCATGCTGTCTTGCAATTCCACTGTATGCCCAGAATGTGCCTACCTTTACTCTCCCTCTCGCAAGGCTCAATTCATCTCTACCCTATCCTTTTTAATGGCTTACTTAGAAGTACCACGCTTTATTTGGCCAATCTCCTATCAATGTACATTTATTTCCTGTACTGGGGTCTGTTCCAGAGAGATCTGCTTTCTGCACCTATAGAAGGGGCAAATGTCCTAAAGTTTGTCAAGGAAAACCATATACCAGTACATGGAAAACTCCTGCCCCAGGGACACACCAGAGCACCCTCAAAATTACTCCCTGGGCACGGTGTCCTGCACCTGTAGTCCCAGCTACTCAGGAAGCTGAGGCAGGAGGATTGCTTGAGCCCAGGGGTTCATGTCCAGCCTTGGCAACATAGTGAGAGCCCATCTCAAAACAAAACAAAAAATCCTCCCTACTCCCTGTAGCTGTTCCAGGACAGGATAATCCAGGCCTGATGTAACAACCCTCATCACTAATACCTATCTGATGTTTCTGAGCACTGGATAACTACAGCATGTTCTCAAAATTCTTGGGTTTGGCCTAGGTCATGATCAGCCTTCTACTAGTGAAGAATTGTTACCTCACATCACTCCCTATCAAATGAACTGTTAAACTATCCTTTGTTCAATTAAATCCCCTTCACAGTTCAGTGTGACTTCCTCTGGGCCTTTCAGTAATCATGGCTATTGTTATTAACATTTGTGGGCCCAGCCCCAGGCTTCTAGGACTTTCAACTTTTCCCAATCAGAACAAAACAATCTAGTACGTTTTCTACTTGATGGACAGGGAGAGAACCTATCGTTATTTGTTTGTATGTTAAGCAGACTTATACGCTCCTGAGTTTTCGTGTTTTGAATTCTGGAAACAAGTTTTGTGGGTTTTTCTGTCTCGCATATCCAGTGTGCTATTGCCCAGTTCTTCTGGTGACGATCACAAGTATATCTAATGTTTCTGTGATCTGCCAATGGACTACCGGGTGTGTGGTAAGGAGCAGGGGCAGGAAAATGTTTTGTTGGGCAGGTGGGGGCGGGGGAGTATAGGTGTGCCGACAGAAAAGGAAAATAAAAGTTGGATATCCCTTATCCAAAATGCTTGGGACCAGAGGTATTTAAGATTTCAGATTTTTCAGATTTGGGAATGTATACATATACATAATGAGATATCTTGGGGATGGGACCTACGTGTAAACACAGATTCATTTACGGTTCCTGTACGCCTTATACACATAGCCTGTAGGTAATTTAAAATAATATTTTTAGTAATTTTGTGCATGAAACGAAGTTTGTGTACATTGTGGAATTTTCTACCTGTGATGTCATGTCGGTGCTCTAAAAGTTCTGGGTTTTGGAGCATTTTGGATTTCATATTTTTGCATTAGGGATACTCAACCTGTATTGAAGGGGTATCTGGCAGCCCAGTGACTGGCAGAGAGTGGGACTGAGAGGTGCTAAGAATGGGATACAGAGACCAAATGTGAAAGTGACTAAAAAAATTCACATCAGTGTTCACACTTTAAGAGCTTCATATTATCGACACTGATACCTATTTCACATCCTTAATGCAGTGATTTCTAGCCCAGTGCCCTTTTACTCTCAACGTAATGGCTGGTGAAATATTAGCCACTTACCTTTTTTGGTTGTTTTCATGGGAAAAAATTTTGTTCCCAATGTGAATGTTTTCTTCTTAATATTTCTCTGTGGTTTAGAATTTTTTTACAGTGACATTTCATTTCTGTAAGAAACATAAAGCTAGAAGAGACAATGTTAATTAAAAAAAATCAGGGTTGGAAAGAGAGGAGACTTAGAATGAGGCTAGTTGCTTATGTTTGCTATCCCATCCCCACCCTAAGCTTTCAAAACTCTGAGAGAAAAGCCTGGTTAAAACACCACAACACACCCTATCTATTCCTTTACACAGCACCATTTAATGTATTAAAGAACAGCTTTTTTTAAAACTCAAAATAGGAACTTCACAGTCTCTTAAAAACAATACATTTAATACATTCACAAGATTTCAAATGAGAAACATACATTATTCATGCTATAGGTTTTCAGTCTTCCTTGGACAACACAAAAAAACCACAGTACTCAAACTGCATGTTTGAACAAGTGGAACATGAAATCCCATTTTGACAAAGACAGGTTAAAAAAAAAAATAAAACCAACTTGAAACTACTCCAGCGTCAGCTGACTTCCTTAAATCCCCTACCCTGCCCTCCTCGGGGACTCAATACAGCTGGCTTCCTCTCTAGCACGTGGAACTCTCTGCTTCTACAGTTCTTCTCTACCCAACATGTCAACAAAAATTGTAAATTTTAGAGGTGTGTCACTGAATAACGACTACAACATGCTTAAAAAAAAAGCCAACTTATTCCTTGAATGTTGAAAGAGGGAGCTAGGATTAGGTGAAATTTATTTTTACATTCATTCATTCATTTATTTATGCATGTGTACCTCGGCTTGAAGATTAAGTGAAATTTAAAAGGTAGTCATTGACTTCACTCTGGTTCTGGAGCATAGGAATTGTGCCCAAAGGTTAGGATAAGGAATTAAAGACTCCAAGAAATACCCCAAACATTGATTATAAACGGAAGACTATACTATTGAAGAGCTTAACATGGAAAAATATTTTAAGTTATAAACTTAAATGAAAAAGTAGAATACAAAACTATATACAATATGATATCAACTATGTAAAAACCAATCAAAATATGCTCTAAAAAAAGCTGAAGGAAAATAGTTCAAAATGTTAATAGTGGTTATATTTAAGTAGTGTATCTACAGTGATCTTGTTTCTTCCTTTTACTTTTGTGTCTTTTTCAAATTGTTCTCTACTGGGCAGCTTTTTTAAAAAAAGACTATTAATTATAAAAGAGTTAATGAATTTGATCCAACCTATTAAGGAAGGATCTATACATTTATAAAACTATAAAAAAAAATTCCAGGCTACTCCATGAATCCACTGTTAGGAGTAACTCAGCAGAGATTGAAGGGTTTCAGCCTACAGATTGAAGGGCTTCAGCCAGGTGAAAGATGTCACCAGATCCTGCCTGATGAAAAATTCTGAACCAATTGGAAATGTCACAGATTTACGAAAAGGAATAGAAATACCCACACTTGGCAAAAACTTATTTACAGTATAGTTGCTCATTAATACTAGAATTAAACATGAGGATTTTCTCCTATTTTCTGGGCAGATGTCAAGTTACAAAAATGCTTTTATCGCAATAACTGTGGAAAACCAATCCTAGTTTAGAAACAGAAATAAAACAGAATTGCAACAATAGTGGAATGAGAATAGTGCTCAATTTAGAAAATTATAAAAAGCACTTTCTATAAAAATGATTCCCTTTAAGACATGTGTTTACCGTATACACTTTGAAACCCCCCCCCACAACAACAAAAAAGGCAAAACCTCCAAGCACTTTCTATTTCTAACAAAGCATCCACTGGTTTGTTCATCTAACAAACACTAACTGAAGGCTCATAATGTGCTAGGCACTGGGGTCTCAAAGAGGAGAAAGACTTGTTCCTGCCTCGAGAAAGACTCAGTCTTCCCAAAGGAGAAGGCAGACACATCACCAACCACAACAGGTCAATTAAAAGCAGATACCACTGCTTTCTTACAATTAAAGGCGATGCTGCAATTCTTACTGAATGACTTATACAAACATCCTTACACAGAAAATTTCCTGACTTACTAGGAAGCAAAAATACAACTACTTTCTCCTGATAAATACTTTCTAGAAAGGGCAGGCACTAAGTAACACTTCTGTGATGTTTGCCCCTAAATATCACAATACCTAGTGAAGTCAGTTAACTTTCTTTTTAAGCAATGGAGCATATTTTACTCCAAGAATGAGACATTTTGAAACAGAGAGTAAGTGACCGGTCCTATATCCAGTTTAAGACTCGTCAGTACCATCAAAAGTTGAGATGTAGGAGTCCAAGTTTCAATTAAAATCTTCCATTTCCTCTCCCATCCGTTGATTTTCAATGTGCTCCTGTGTCAGCCGCTCCAGGTCTTTCCGCACATTTGGGTGGTCTTCCAGATCTTCATAGAGTGATCTGACGATGTCCAGTCTCCTATAATTCTCAGGCCTGACTAGGCTTCGGACAACCTGGAGGCATCGCTCTTTCAGGGTATACACTGTAAGGGCAGAAAATCAAATATTCAGGGGCAGGCTCACATCTTGGGACAAGGGCTGAGCAAGAGGTTTTACCATGCATGGCAATTACCTTTACTACATATGGATCTCACTTCAGTGGGGAAAAAAAGTACATGCATATGTTGTGGCAGTGTATTATGCTGATGGCCCCCAATGGATGCCTCGGAGAATTCACATCCTTGTGTAGTAACTTCCTCTTGAAATGGGCTGGGCCTAGGATTTGCTTTAACTAACTGAATGTAGATGAAGTGACATTGGCAATTCTGGGCCTAATCCTTGAGAAGGCCTGGCAACTTCTGCTTTTACACTCTTGGGAGCCCTGAGCTACCCCACTGGAGAGACTACACAAAGAGGGACAGGCCCAGACCCCAGCCAACCTGCCAGCAGAAGGCAGCCACACCAATGACCACCAGTCAGCAGAATAATCACGTAGCTGAGCCTAGACTGCAGAATTATGAATAAATGGTTGTTGTTAATTTTGGGGTGACTGTCACATGATAATAGATAACCAAAATA